CTGTAGTTGATCTTCGAGTCATAGGGCAGTTTGCCCAATTTGCATCACAATAAGCCTTCAAGTCAAAAAATTGTTTGATGAAAATAACAAGCCGAGACCTGGACTTCCTTTAAGGTACTTAATTATGCGAAGAGCAGCATCCCAATGAGGCTTTCTTGGTGCATGCATAAATTGGCTTAGGATATTGACCGAGTATGTGATGTCTGGTCTTGTGATTGTGAGATAGATTAATTGTCCAACTAATCTCCTATAGCGCTCTGGATTATGTAGTAAATCTCCTTGATCATCCATGAGCTTTAGATTTACTTCCATTGGGAAATTTGAAGGTTGAGCACCCAAGTAACCAACATCATTTATAATCTCCAAGGTATATTTTCGTTGAGAGATTACAATGCCTTCTTTGGACCTTGCAACTTCCAAGCCAAGAAAAAACTTTAGAAGACCAAGATCTTTGATGTGGAATTGTTGATGCAAAGAATTTTTGAGACTTTGTATAGCAATTGCATCATTTCCTGTTATCACTATGTCATCTACATAGATGAGTACCATAGTTGTAGATGGACCTTTAGTTTTCACAAATAAAGAATAATCTGAATGTGATTGAACAAAACCAGCCTTTTTGATAGCATGAGAGAATTTGGCAAACCAATTTCGAGGGGCTTGTTTAAGTCCATAGAGGGACTTGTGCAGTCGACATACAAGCTTCTCCCCCTATCGACAAAGACCCGGTGGTGGAGTCATATAGACCTCTTCCTCTAAATCACCATGAAGGAAGGCATTGGTCACATCCATTTGATGTAAGGGCCATTGTTTGGCGGCAGCAACAGCAAGAATACATCGAACAGTGGTTAACTTGGCAACAGGAGCAAATGTCTCAGTGTAATCCAAGCCTTCTTGTTGAGAAAATCCTTTGGCAACTAATCGTGCTTTGTAGCGTTCAATCGTGCCATTAGAATTATATTTGATACGATATACCCATTTGCTGCCAATGGGACGATGACCAGTAGGTAAAGGAACCAAAGACCATGTCTTTTGAGTAGTAAGAGCATCAAGTTCGTGTTGCATGGCCTCTTGCCATTTCGGATCTAAAACAGCCTGTGCATATGAGGTGGGTTCAAGAACACTGGAGATAGCATTGACAAAGTGTTTATGTTTAGAAGATAAAGAATCATATGAAATGTAGTTACTTAAAGGATACCGAGTACCTGACTTGGTTGAAGATTTCTGGTTGGAGGTTGCATTTGATGGCATTGTACTCACTTGTCCACAATGGAAATCTTGAAGAAGAATGGATGGTTTTCTGGTGCGTTCACTTCTACGGAGAGAAGGGGCTGGGGATGAGACAGGAGAGGAGGAATTTTCTGTGGAAGCGGTCTCAGGTAATGAGGAACGAAGGGAAGTTGGGAGAGAAGGGGAATCAGCAGGGTAGTTGGTTATCTCAGGTTGAGAAATGGATGGAGCTGGTGAGGATTCTGTGGTATGAAAAGGAAAATTTTCCTCATGAAAGATGACATCTCGACTTGAGAAAAATTGATGAGTTTTGAGGTCATATAAACGGTAAGCTTTTTGGCCAATGGGATAGCCAACAAAAATGCATTTTTTGGCACGAGAGTCAAATTTGTGAGTGGGGTGTAGATTTGTTGCATAACAAAGACATCCAAACACTCGCAACTTAGAATAATTGGGTGGCTTGTTATACAACATTTCATAGGGAGATTTGTATTGCAGCACAGGGGTAGGAAGTCGATTGATGAGATAGGTGGCAGTGAGTAAACTTTCCCCCCAAAATTGCAATGGAAGATTAGCATCAAGCCTTAAAGCCCTGCCAACGTTTAAGAGATGTCGATGCTTGCGTTCAACTACACCGTTTTGTTGAGGTGTAGATTTACAAGAGCTTTGAAATGATATGCCAAGTTTGGAAAAATATGGTTTCATGGATATGAATTCTAAGCCATTATCACTGCGAATACATTTAACTTGGCAATTAAACTGAGTATTGACAAAAGAGATAAAGGTTTTGAGTAACCCTTGTGTTTCAGATTTAAATTGCATGAGGAATATCCATGTGAATCTAGTATAGTCGTCAACAATTGTTAAAAAATAATGTGCCCCTGTATGAGTTGCAGTACGAAGAGGTCCCCAAATATCACAATGAAGAAGATCAAAAGAATGTAAAGTTTGAATAGTACTAGAAGGAAAAGATAGTCGTGTTTGCTTAGCCAAATGACAAGTTTCACACAAATGTTTAGAATTAAATACAAATGAAGGTATAACATGACTCAGAAACTGTGAAGGTGCCTTGGAGGGATGTCCCAACCGCTGGTGCCATGGAATTTTTGGAGTGGAAGCAACATGATAAGTGATCGGTGTAGTAGATGATGCAGATTTTATTGATGGCACGAAGTAGTACAAGCCATTAAGTTGCTTCCCCAAACCAATCATCTTCTTCGAAGTTAGGTCCTGCAGTACACAAAAAGTAGGGAAAAAATGAATAGAACAATTTAAGGTAGCTGTGAGTTGACTGACTGACAGTAAATTGACATGGAAAGATGGAGCACAGAGTATGTTTTTAACATGCATGTGGGCTGAAAGTTGGGTGGAACCTATGCCAGTTATGGCAGAGCAAGCACCATTGGGTAAGGTTACTTGAGAAGAGAGAGGAGAGATAATTGGAACAGATGTGGCTATGTGATTAGTGGCACCACTGTCAATGATCCAGTGACTCAAGGCTTTCTTTTGTGCAGTAAATGAAGAACAGAAAGGGGCAGAACTACCTGTAGAGTTTGCTTGAGTAGATTGTTTACCATTGAAAAAGGCTTTGATTTGAGCAAGTTCTTGAGAGGTGAATTGAGGAGTAGGATCGATGGAGGACTTGTGTGAATCTGAAATGATGGTTGCACTGGCTTGGTGAGCAGTAGTTTTTCTGCTACGATTGGGTGGCTGAACTTCTTTGCCATGTAGTTTGTGACCAACTGGGAACCCATTGAGAAAATAACATCGATCCACAGTGTGAGTAGTGCCTTCACAATAAGAGCAATGAAGAGGTTTTCGATTGCCTTGAGGCTTGGAATGAGTGGAGGACCATTGTTGTCGTTGTCTTGAGGGCATAGTTTGTGACTCCTTGGAGTTGTCATAAGTGTGAATACTCATGGCATGAATAAGATCACTGCTCTTTGTTTCAGTGAGGCCTCGCTGCTTTTCTTCTTCACATAAAAGTGAATATGCCTTTTTGACAGTTGGTAAAGGATGCATGAGCATAATCTGTCCTCGTACAGCAGAATATGTCTCATTGAGGCCCATAAGAAATTGACCAAGGCGAATTCTTTCTTCTTTTTCTTTTAGATCTTTTTTACCTCCACACGTGCAGGTGATTGAGGGGCTACAGGTGGTTAGCTCATCCCACAGCATTTTCATCTTTGTATAGTAAGAAAAAATGGATTCTTGATTTTGTTTCAGTTCAACAATGGATCGTTGAGTTTGATAATGATGAGAAAAATCACCTTGAGAGAATCGGTCTTGAAGATCTGTCCAAATTTCTGAGGAAGTTTCAGCATAGAGAACACTGTGTATAAGATCTTGACTTAGAGAATTGAATATCCAAGAGAGTACCATAGCATTGCAACGCTGCCATAAAGAGTATGTGGGATCCTTTTTCTCTGGAGTGGTAACGGTTCCTTCGATGAATCCCAATTTGTTTTTGGCACTAAGGCTGATCAGCATTGATCATTTCCACATGGCATAATTGGTTCCATCTAAAACCTTTGGAACAAGGATCAGTCCAGGATGATCAGAAGGGTGAAGAAACAGAGGATCTGCTGGATCAATCGCTGGTGTAGACATATTTAGTTAGAGTATGCGGAATTTTACAGAAGCAATAGGATCATAGCTCTGATACCATGACAAAATAGGAACAAAATAGGAATTAAGAAAGCTCTTTATTTCTACTTTTTTTTCTATGTTAAAAGACTACAATATATACACATATACAGATCAAGTCATGATCTGATCAGCAAGGAAGGAAAATAAAATCTCAACTAATTCCCTTGAATGAAGGGATTACAAATTCCTAAATATGTGCAGTAAAGATTATTTCCAAAACTAGTGTTAATCAAATCTCAGCAAATCTCAACAAATAGTACAGGTAAAATGTCAGATGTACATGGGTGTTGGTAAGGGGTTTAATTTATGTCATTTAATATATAAAATTAACGAAAAGTGTCAATTAAAACTAATTACATAGTTTAGGGGATAAATTGAGATAAATGAAAGTTCATGGAACTTTTTAAAATAAAGGTCACAGATTAAGTGAAATTTATTAAATTTACCCTTTTAATTTTATATTTCTGATTAGGACCGTTAATCAAACTGAGCTACTCGAGTTTGGCTCGGGTTCGGCTCGTTCTGACTCGATTCATTTTTTAAATGAGTCCAAACTTAAACAGGTTTTTAGGTTCGTTTAGAAAATAAGCCCTACAAGCTCGGCTCATATTCGATAAGCGTGACTCGTTTATATATAAATACTCGAGCTTGACTTGAACTTGATTTATTTTTGACTCGGTCAGGCTCAGTTCCTTTCCTAAAAAAGTCGAACTTGAACAATTTTTTAAGTTTAATTAAAAAATAAGTTTTTTACGCTCGGCTCCGGCACGTTCCTGAGACGGTCTTATTTCATGTACCCGCGCAATTGTCAGTTCTTCTTACTTCTAAATCCATAACCCGAACCCGGTTAAAAATTCTTTGGTTACATATGGTCGATGAAATCGGTGACTCGCTGGTTCGACTCGTCGCATTCATTCATCCTAAAGCCCTTGAAAAACTTACCACCGAAAAGAGTTCGTCTTCGCGTCTCTCCTACACATTGGAAAATGTCTCTCACCTTCTCTTCACCTCTATTCTTTCCTAAAATAGTTTCCTTCTCTGTAAGTATATTTTGATTACTCTCTCTCTCTCTCTCTCCCCCTCTTGTTAATTGTGATTTTCATCTCTAATTTTCATTTTAGGAAGTTGGTGGAAAGCAAACGGTTTGTGGGTTATGGAGAAACAAACAGAACATGAAGAAATTTGTGGTGAGAGCAGGGCCAAAGAGAATATGCTTTGACAGGGAATGCAGAGAATCCTTATTATCTGGGATAAATAAGCTTGCTGATGCTGTTTCTGTCACCTTAGGACCTAAAGGTAACTCTTCAAGTTTTATACAATGCTCCTTCTTCTTTGTGTTCTTCCAATCATGGAGTGTGGACTTTTTTGTTTTCGAAAGAGAATAATTACCCTTAATGGAATAGCTTTTCAGAAAGTGAAGGTCGAAAAGAAATGCAAATGTATTTTGTAAGAGGCAAAAAAACGGAAGTACCTCCAACAGGAGTGAAGGAATGATATCTTATATGCAAATGAGCTTTGAACTCGATGTCCAAGTGTTTTCTTCTGTCCAAGACCGACCGAAGTGCTTCACTTGAAGGCACTCTGATGCTTAAATAAGTAATGAAATTGATATTACTCCAAGAAGACAAGGAGAGTTCAGTGTACCGTTCACCTTTGCGCCTTATGCCGAGTCTTCCTTAGTTATGGTTTTCATGATTTTTGATTTAAGGTGGTACACCTTTCCGTAATCAGGCAATTCTGTTCAGGAAGTTGCTGAGATCTCTCTAGCAATTCCTTCTGCTGAGCCTATGATCATGCCCACTCGTTTAACTAGAATGCCTATAGGCATCTTCTTAGCACCATGTTTACTGTTTAAATAACTTGTTCGTGACGAGGACCGAGCTCATTCTCTCCTCCCCAAACTCTCTGAACAGCTCAGTTGCTATCTGATGGCAGTCTTGTGATGTTTTTCTCATGTGACTGGTCTTGTCACCGTCACGTGAGATCATTAAATGTTATTACACGTGTTGTAAAGGGAGCTCCCCATTCATATTTTTAGAACGAAGCAAACACAAAAGTTGCACATGATTCACAACAAAATGGGATAGCAGTATTGAAATGTAGAAGTCTGATAAAATCATTGTAATTTTTTTCCTCAATTTGTAGTTTAATAAAAACTTTTGTCGATTTTGGCTTGATGAGAAAACTGTGAACAGTACTGATGCCATCAAACTACTTTCTTGCACTGTCTGTAGTTAATCTTTAGTCTAGAATTAAGTACCAAATCTCTTACTATCACTCAGATGAACATCATTTAGGTTGTCATAGCTACTTAATACATCACCGAGCTGGCCTACTGAGTTAATGATAGATTGTTCAACCTCTCTTCACGACCTTTACAACTTGCAAGTAGCACTTGCTTGCCTTAGGAAGAAACCTAAGCTGCATGGGTACATTTAAACATCAAAACCTGCTACTTCTACTTGTCCTATTTTATGTTCTGTCCAGATTGTTGTTTATGTTGGTTGGTTTGCTAAAAAGCTTAATTTTGTCCAATGATGGTTAGAGATAACTTTCTTAAATCTATCCCACGAGATTTGGCCAAAATTATAAATAGAAATTCGGTGGGCTCGGAAAATAAGAAGCAAGCACTAGCAGCATAATTTAATAAATCAATTTGTGGGCTTATGCATGAATACCATTTGGTGGAAGTTTACTGAATATGCAAATATGACATGTTGGAAATGGTGGAAGTAGAGGATTGGCTGAATTCCTTTGGTTCTAGAAACTGCGATGTTGGGCATTGCATTGATTAATTTTTTGGTATTGTTATTAAGTAAAGCAATAGAATCAATGGTTTGAAATCTATAGGAGGTTTTTGGGTTTATGTGGGGAGGCATCTGGGAGAGAGGTCGCATTGGAGACAGTGGAAACTATTCTGACGAAGGAATTAATGTTATAATCGATCAATTACACTACAAAAAATTCTAAAAAAAAAGAAGGAAAAGTGGAGTAGTAAAGTTATTCTTCCAATTATTGGCTGGGAATATTGAGTCAAAGGACAGGAAGTTGAATAATGAGAGTCAATGGGATGCATGATTTTTGAGGATGAGTGTGAAGAAGTTGAGGGATTGTGGGATAGAATTCATTTTTTGGCTTCTTTTTGGACTTCCAATGCAAAGGAGTTTGAGGATATTCCTCTCTTTTGTATTAGAACAAATTGGAGAGCATCATGTGGCTTGTAGTCATTGTGTGGATTCCTTGTCCACCATTAATTTGTTTCTCGTAAATTTTTTCTTATGATTGTCAGTAAAATGTCATGCCTTATCCCAAAAAAAAGGAAAGTAGTCTTGTGAGATTTATGAATCCAGATAGCGTTTCTAGAGTAGATTGCATTGGAGGCTGTCAATGGAGGGAACTAGTGCAGTTTTCTATAATCAGGGCTCAGTTTGGGTTGATAGTCGGTTAGATATCTTGATCTATTGCACTTTTTTCAGGTGTTTGCACTTGATTAGAGGTTGATTCTGATTTTCAACAAATTTGCCTTCAAACATAGGGCAAATATTGGATAAATTCTGCAATGGTTGTGAAGAGCTTGCCTCGTGTAAATAGTTTTGAAATAATTTATACCAAAAAAATAGCATGGTGAGAAATCCCATTCATTGTTACATGGAGAAGGTTTTAGTTTGACTAAGAGCTTAAAATAATTTGAAATTCTAGTCGTTGCAGTAATTTTGTGAAGAGAATATGTAAAGTGAGAAAAAAAAAAAAGTTGACTCCCACCTTGTTTTTAATAGATCACTTCATGGTGGAGCATATGTATGTGAAAACATGTAGGGTATATAATATACCTCAGGACAATTGGAATTATCTAAATTTTCACATAAATAAAAAAAAACCTTGTAGACATGTTGAATGTATTTATTGTGCACTTTGAGGTTTTTATTCATCAGAGAAAAAGAATGTATCTGTCGTGTACTTTGATATCTTGATCTATTGTCTGTTAGATATCTTGATCTATTGCACTTTTTTCAGGTGTTTGCACTTGATTAGAGGCTGATTCTGATTTTCAACAAATGTGCCTTCAAACATAGGGCAAAATATTGGATAAATTCTGCAATGGTTGTGAAGAGCTTGCCTCGTGTCAATAGTTTTGAAATAATTTATACCAAAAAAATAGCATGGTGAGGAATCCCATTCATTGTTACATGGAGAAGGTTTTAGTTTGACTAAGAGCTTAAAATAATTTGCAATTCTAGTCGTTGCAGTAATTTTGTGAAGAGAATATGTAAAGTGAGAAAAAAAAAAAGTTAGACTCCCACCTTGTTTTTAATAGATCACTTCATGGTGGAGCATATGTATGTGAAAACATGTAGGGTATATAATATACCTCAGGACAATTGGAATTATCTAAATTTTCATATAAATAAAAAAAAAACCTTCTAGACATGTTGAATGTATTTATTGTGCACTTTGAGGTTTTTATTCATCAGAGAAAAAGAATGTATCTATCGTGTACTTTGAAGCAGAAATGTGAAGGTATCACTGAGGTCAAATGCTCCGACGTTCAGATAGATGATCTTGGTTTATTGTATTTTAGTGTATTGATGCACGCACATTAATTTTATGCGGCTTACAATTTTTTTTGTTTTATCGGCTGCATGTTAAATCATGCAGGACGCAATGTTGTTGTTTCAGAATCTGGGACAGTTAAAGTAATTAACGATGGTGTCACAATTGCCCGAACCATAGAGCTTCAAAATGCTATTGAGAATGCAGGAGCAATGCTAATCCAAGAGGTCATTGACACTAGCTGGATTTTTCTCTTCATATTCATTTTGTGCTCAATAAATTTATTGTTGAACTTTAAGTGTTTGCAGGTTGCAACTAAAACAAATGATTTAGCTGGTGATGGTACTACCACTGCAATTATTTTGGCTCGAGAGATGATCAAATCTGGGTTGTTGGCTGTTGCTTTTGGAGCTAACCCTGTTTGCTTAAAGAAAGGAATGGATAAGACTGTAAAAGAACTGATCAAAGTATTGAAGAAGAAAAGCTTTCCTGTAAAAGGGAGGGATGATATAAAAGGTTTTTTCCTTCTTTTGTCCAATTTTTTTTTTTTAAATTAAAGACAAAATTCAAATATCCCTTTTTTTTTTTTTGCAGCCATAGCTTCGATTTCTGGTGGAAATGATGAATTCATTGGGAACTTGATTGCTGAAGCTATAAATAAGATTGGCCCTGATGGAGTAATCTCTATTGAATCTTCCTCATCATCCGAAACTTCTGTGATAGTTGAAGAAGGAATGAAGGTGTTCATATATTTATTGTTTAGGGTGTTTATGAGCATAATTAAAAAGGAGGTTTTAGATATTAGTTGGACATCACATACAATGGTTAAAACATGATGTATATGTTCATAAATACAATCAGGGTTTAAATGTCAGTTTGACATCAATACAGAATGGTAAAACATGATTTAGCCTCAAAATATCAAGAGCTTTAAATTCATATCAGAATATGGGTGGTCTAAAAGTGGTCAATTTTTTTTGTAGGGGCTTGAACTGAGATACTATGTTGAGCCCCTGCTATCTTGTTAAACAAAACCAGCAGCTAGCATTGTTGCTGGACATCTCCAGCATTAAAGTTAAGCCCCAAGTATGATTACATCTGCCAAACACACTCTTATAGATATTCAAAACAGTGCACAGGCTATCAAATAAATTTTGTTTGCTTCTAATTGGAATTTCTCAGATGGATTGACCTCGTATATATGTGTTGCAACTATACATTTCTTTATTAGCGGTCCAGTTTCATTTTCTTCCTAGTTTTAAATATTGCTGCCTCATATTTGTGATCTTATTGTTCTTTTTCTTGTGGATTTTTTAAATATGTTTTCCGGCATTGTTTCTTGCAGATAGACAAGGGCTACATGTCACCCCAGTTCATCACAGATCAGGAGAGATCTATTGTGGAGTTTGAAAATGCTAAAGTTTTGGTGACAGACCAAAAGGTATCAACAGTCCAAGAGATTGTTCCTTTACTAGAGAAGACTACCCAGCTGAGTGTCCCACTGCTAATAATTGCTGAGGATATATCAAGGCAAGTTCTGGAGACACTGGTCGTGAATAAGGTGCGAGGTGTGCTTAATGCTGCTGTAGTTAAATGCCCAGGGTTTGGAGAGGGAAAGAAAGCACTGTTGCAAGATATTGCTCTGATGACAGGTGAACTTAGGTGCTCTTCTTTAATTTAAAGAAAGACATGTCAAAGGATTATCTTAGATCACTCACATCATTTCTATCGCTTTTATAGATGTGTGCATGCATTATTTATATTTGATTTGAGAGGCTGTGTCGGTGGTAATTCAGTGATATCCACATTTTTAATGGAGATTTCAGTAAAAAAACCTCTATTGTTCCTCTGCATGATTTTCTGGAAGAATCTAATTAGCTCTCATTAATTCACTGCATGGCTTGAAATGTTGTTTTCTTATATTTTTTGGAGGGAGGGTGATGTGTCGAGGTTCATAACTGGCTGACCCACTTCATTCTGTGTATGCGTGTATCAAATTTTCCAAATTGATACTGAGGCAGCTCATTTACTATCAAGTTAGTATCACATGAACGTCACTTTGTCCAGCATGCTAATGAAATTTAAGGTAGTGTTTGTTGCATTAGTGTGTAATTCCTCATAATGCCCCTATTTTTAGAGACTGCTTTCCGACAGACATCACTATATTTATATCAGGTGCTGATTTTCTCTCTGGAGATTTAGGCCTGACCCTTGAGGGTGCAACCTCTGATCAGCTTGGTATTGCACAAAAAATAACCATAACAGCTAACTCTACAACTATTGTTGCTGACTCTTCTACTAAAGCTGAAATTCAAGCAAGAATTTTGCAGATAAAGAAGGATCTTGCCAACACAGATAGCTCATATCTGTCAGGAAAGCTCTCAGAAAGAATTGCAAAACTCTGCGGTGGTGTAGCTGTTATTAAGGTCTGCATGGAATTAAACATTAAATGAACCTAATCTTGGTGACAGTTCCACTTATGTTTTGAGGCCCAGCTCTGCCTGATGTTTATATATGCTGTAATATGTAGTTGGCACAACAGAATTTGACTTCAAAATTGGTTTAATGTTTTCAAAGCAATGTTGTAGTTGCTAAAAATTGGTCTCTCCTTCGTATTAGTTTCATATGGTATATATCAACATTCAAACTTTAAAGAATATATGGCACAAGAGACATTGGAAAATGTGATTTCATAGTAGCAAATCACACTGCATTTATTTTAGCTAATTGATTTGTATTTGGATTTGACAACCTTTTGAGTTTTCACAATGATAAATCTGCTTCTTTTTTTCACTAATGGAACTAATAGCACTAATGAGCAATGTGGGTGATGTTTAGGTAGGAGCTCACACTGAGATGGAACTCGAGGATCGAAAGCTAAGAATTGAGGATGCAAAAAGTGCCACATTTGCTGCCATGGATGAAGGTATAGTGCCCGGTGGCGGGTCCACATATGTTCACCTCTTAGAAGAGATTCCTGTCATAAAGAAGAACCTGGAAGATCCAGACGAGAAGATTGGTGCTGACATTGTAGGGATGGTATGTTGTATTTTTCTACTTGTACTTGCATTGACGTAGGTTCTCTAGGCATTTAAGCATACGTAAGTTAGAAAACCTAATCCCAACAAGCAGAGAGTTTGGTTCACTAGGATCCTTCTTGCATTGCTGTGTCTTTTTCTTCATTTCATAACAGCCAATAATTTCTTCAACAGTTCATCAAATGTTCTATTTGGCATTTCTTGTCACCTGGCTAGTTGGCTCCTAATTGTAATGCTATCATTTTGTATAACTGCTCACAGTAATTCTTAGGAATTATATATGAGCAGCATTGATTCGTAGGGTGCGTAATACATTGTTAATTTATAGAAAATCTGTTTATATATAAGTGATTTTATTTAAATTCATGTCAAATGATCTGATTAGAAAAATGATGGAAAGAATATTGATTGACAATCCAAGTGTTTTGTCAAACATTTTGTGCCCACTGAAAAAACTTATTTGGGTAGCTTTTGAAATTATCATAGTTTACAAATTTATTTTATTGTAAGGTTCACTGAAAAATTTATTTGATAGTTGGGTCCTTCTAATTGTAATGATATCGTTTTGTATAATGTCATAGTAGAATGCAATTTTCAAATTTGTCAGTCAAAATTTTCAGGCTCTTCTTGCACCAGCAAAAATAATTGCAGCTAATGCTGGAGTAGATGGGGATGTAGTTGTTGAGAACATTAGTGCTTCTGATTGGCAAATCGGATACAATGCAATGACTGGCACCTTTGAAGACCTTCTTGCCGTTGGAGTGATTGACCCTTCTAAGGTTTCAAGGTGTGCACTTCAAAATGCAGTCTCGGTTGCGGGTATTGTCCTAACAACTCAAGCTGTATTGGTGGAGAAAACCAAGCTTCCCAAGCCACCTGTTCCTCTTGTTCCTGGAATATCTCCTTAGTAATTAGGGACAAATTGGAAACATCAAAAGCACCATCAAAAGCTGGAGAAAAAAGCTGACCGAGCTGGTTTTTGCCATGGTTTGTCAAGATCTAGCATGCAAGCCTGGTTGTTGGGTGGGGACTCACTTAGAGGATTGGCAAATGCTCCCCTCAGTCTGTGCAAAGCCACCAAAATCAAGTTAGTTATCCTGAGTTTTTGGGTTGTGATAGCATGACTTGCCAGTCATATGAAATGATATATCCTCATGTGGTTGTTACTGGTCTGTCTTCTTGGCTCTTGCAGTGGATGGGAAAAAGTTCCGATGGTTCCCAGGACTTTGGGGAATTATTTCGCGTATGTCTCTTTGGATAGTTTGTGGTTTCTCTGTGTCAGGTTTTAAAATACGAACAACCCAGGCAAAGTGCCTTTGCATTTTGCTCTGTACTCAAAAAATCCAAAGATAGCTGAACAACATTGACAATGCAAGGGGATGGTAGGTCTTTACGAAATTGCGATTAATTGTTTTATCTTTATTTAATTTGGGTTTCGTTTGATAACACTCTATGCATGTATTTTTTGTTTTTCTACTAGAGATTTTTAAGGTACTGCTCGCTCGGTATGCATTTTGCTGCTTATACTTCTTTTCTTGTTAAAGTTTGTTTCTGTTGTCCAAGTCAAATTAGCATGTATTATTTATCTATTGAGATTCATATCTATCGCTTTTTGCAAAATAATTCGCGAAATGACCCCTTTTCTTTTTGATAATTTTGGTTACAAGAAGTTATTTTACACGGAAGCCAGGCTCTTGATACTCGAGCAGTAAGCTTGGCTACAGCAAAGTAAAACACTTACCAAGCGCGAAGGAAAAGGCTTTCATGCAGGAGAAACTTGCAGTGCAACCATCGTAACAGCATATATCTAAAGATCAATAGGAAATCCTATTTTCTTACAAAAAAATCTAGAATTAATTTGAAGTAAGATTTTCGCATTTACACTTTCGTGAACCAAAACTGGGGGAGGGTGAGAGCAAAATCCCCCGTCCCCACCAAAATAAAGCAGCCTCGCTCCCTTTGATAAGAGAGAAAACAAAATAAACTCAATTTAGGGAAGAAAAAAAATCGATTCCATTAATTATGCCTGTTAGCCTCAAACATGAATTGTTTGCAAACAAATGGATTAGTGTCAGATTATCTGACACATTAATTCTTAGTGTTGGATTAGGATCAATTAACAATCGACATAAATCCAAAATAATAAAATTTTATCGTGAGAGTAAGCCTCTAGCACTTATACTACTTTACCTATGTTCTATCGCTCCCTTGTATCACTTAGAAGGACTGGCCTGCCCAAAGAAGAAATCACAAGCAGGACTATATTCACCTTTATGGGAGACTCTTTGAGGAGCTAGCTCCTGTCGATCGGCAGCCCACCAAGCGAGACCTAAGGACTTGTCAGCCGGCAGGCACATGGCCACCATTATATCACTTTACGCCGATTAATTATCAAAATTGTTATTTTATTATATTTAATAATTAATTAATTGTATTAGATTCCTTGATTAAATGTATTGGATTCCTTGATTTTTTATCTTGATACTTCTTGTTCTTATTGTTTGATTTATTTTACAAATAATTTGGTTGATTTAAAATAATAAAAGATAAAAAAAGTAAAACAAACACTAAATGAAAAGTCACGCTAGAAGAAAAGGATATTTGATAAGGATTGAAATATCAAGATTAAAAGATGAAGATTTAAAGACAAGACAACAATTTAATCCTTGTGAAAATCCAAATTAGTAGAAAATTCATTTAGAGTTATATTAGGAAAATATTCTAGAAGATAAGAATTTGACACATTTCTAATATTTTGGTCATTGCTTTTTACTTCAATGTGTCTTTAACCTTATTTATATGGCGTTGGAAATAAGACTTCAAAAGTTACAAAAGTATATTTGATGAAACATTTGTGAATCGACGTCCAACTATACGAAAATTGAGATTGAAGTTTGGAAAAATATTTTACCCGTGCCCCCATTTGACTTAAAAAGACTATTTTAGGAAAATGATTGCTCTCAAGCCAACCCTAGACCTCCTATCTATATTTAGACTTTAGTATAAATGAAAACTTTCACCTATAGAGAGAGCATCCTAGACTTTATAATCTTTTATTTTATTTTTGCTTCGGAGGTCTACCATATCTTGTGAGTAATTTTTTTATACTTTTTAGTTAGGGTATGGAACTAGAATTGTGAATTAAATATTTATATTTTTTAGGCCAAGTTACATCTTTTTCACGCCAAGCTAGAACTTTTTAAAAATTCATTATTTTTTTAAACTGAGTCATTTTTTCTCCCTGAATCAATAGAATCTATTAATGGAACAAGACATAAACTTTTGGCTTTTGAAATACCACCATCAACTCAAGAATTACAACAATATATAGTTGCAGTTAATTATGTAATTAAAAGAAAAAATATGTATGATTAAAGTAAAACAAAAAATAAGGGTATTTTTTTTTTAGGTGGACACCACAACCACCCTCTTGCTTTATTAATTGTACAGATTTTAAAAAATTCGTTGTTGTTAGATCACATTTTGTAATTAACTAATTACGTGGAGTCTATTGTAAATCTCAACATTTTACATGATTAAGATGATACCAAGTTAAACATTCGAAAAGCGACATTGAAGGGAGGAGTTAAGCCTTAATGCAACATCATTCAACCTAGGTATGCACTTTTATACTGAAGACAAAGATAATGACCCAATTCACCGCCTACGTGCCCTTTATGCCCAGTCATTTCGAAGAAAATTTGCCCTCCCCCCCCCCCCCGGATCTTACCACGGCCGTTGGCACAGAGTTAGCCAAGTTTTCTTCCTCGAGTCTTGTCATAATTGCGCACTCCATGAAAGAGCTTTACAAGTAGCATTGCTCTTCTTCACTCACGCGATGTTGTTGGATCGAGCTTTCGCCCATTGTTGAGATTCCCCACTGTTGTCCCACCCATGGGAGTCTGGGCTGTGTCTCAGTCCTAGTGTGGCTGATCATCTGAAAAAGACTAGCTAAGCATCACTGGCTTGGTCAACCTTTACTTGACCAACCACCTAATACTACACAGGCTCATCCCTATGACTTCCCTTTCACCGATCAAGTGGTCGTTCACGAATCTGAGTTTTCTTATTTACTAAGACTACACTTATTTTAGACCTATAAATAGGGAGATCATTTCCCACATATAGATTAAGCCTTTTGTGAGATAGAACACTTCTTCTACCTTGAGAGCTTCCACCACTAACCTAAATCCCTAAATTTAAAAACTCGCAATAGAGATTTTATCCAACCTCACAACTTAGTGTTAAAGATATTGATCGTGTCAACCAAACCCATTGGTGTCTGCATACTGGGGATTGATGGAGTGCCTATGATTGCTCGAGGTCTAGTGTGGCAGGGAGGTCCAAGGGAAACTACATTAGACGTTGAAGGAAGGCCTTCAGTGGACAGACTACAAGCAAATGAGTATCTAATCATGGTATTGGTTGAGGTATAAAACTCGAGTACTTGTATGTTGACTTAGCAAGTAATGAATTAGGCTTTAGTGAACCGAAAAAGTTCCCTACAATTTTTTCAAAGAGGGTTTTCGCGTTAACAAATCACTTGTGTTAATCTTGCATATTTTATATACATTGGGGATTGTGAGCACACACGTGCACTATGTATTTATTAGAATGATTGTTTGATATCTATTAAACCATAATATGCAAATTGGGGTTTAGAATTTGGGATCAACGTGAGATTGATTATGAGCTAATTAATTGAAGATTAATTTAATCAATCATCAAGTGCAAAATGCGTTATGATGACTAAAGGGGTCCTCAAATTATTTTTTATACCTTTGTGATAAGATGTAATTGTGGTAGGTTAGGTTTTTATTAGTAATTAATTGGACTAAAAATTGAAAAATCTATCCCCCCTCTAGGTAAAGTGTTTATTTCTCCATATATATAGTCATGAGAGAAGATTCACATCGGGTTCCCCTTCCTAGAACAACATAATTTTTAGTAGTTGATGTGTCAATGCCTTTCAATTCTATTATGGGAAGACCTTGACTGCACTACATGGTAGCAATAGCCTCTACTTACCACTAGATGCTACACTTTCCAATCGATGAGGGGATAGCTAAGATTCGTGGAGACCAAACTACCTCGAAGAA